CTCGATGTCATGTTGGATTCATGCAGATACTTCAGATACTCCTTCCTGACACGAGCTATCCCCAAACCAGCTGCATTCCCTTCAAAAGTTGCTGAAGTAGCCCTGGCCGGTCTGGCTCAGCGGTTAGAGCATCGGCCTGTGGTCCGGAGATACCAGGGTTCGGTTCCCGCTAAGGGCACGTACCTCAGTTGCAGTTTGTCCCCGGCCCTGGTTGGGTCATGCGGGTGGCAGCCACTCGATGTGTCCCTTTTACGTCAATGTTTCTCTCTTTCTCTCTCCCTCCCACTCACTCTGAACAAAAAATGGAAAAATGTCCTCTGGTGAGGATAAAAAAAAAAGTTGCTAAAGTATGAGGTAGACACAGAGAACATGGAGGGCAAGGAAAGCGAATTTAAATGTCATTTATAAGCCTCATATTCTCTTTCAGTGTCCTGAATCAAATGGTGCTCGAAATGTAGAACTAAATCATGGGTTAAGAATATCATTTTAGCCCTGGCCAGTTTGACTCAGCGGTTAGAGCGTCGGCCTGCGGTCCGGAGAGACCCAGGTTCAGTTCCCGCTAAGAGCATGTACCTCGGTTGCAGTTTGTCCCCGGCCCTGGTTGGTCGTGCGGGTGGCAGCTACTCGATGTGTCCCTTTCACGTCGATATTTCTCTCTCTCTCTCTCCCTCCCACTCTATCTGTACAAAAAAAAAATTGGAAAAATGTCCTCGGGTGAGGATAAAAAAAAAAAAAGAATATCATTTTATAAGTGACCTTCACAGTCTGACTTAAAGGTGCTAAGGGTTTAAAGCATGTGTTCCTCTTGGTTTGTATTTCTAGCCCAAACCTCTCTCTACCTGTTTTATGGGACCAGTTTGTCATATGATTGCAAAAACTTCAGCTGATTTTTCATTTGTGAGCTCATTGGATAAATTCCAAATATGTACCCAGACTTGTTGATAACCTGTTGACAGTGATTTTTCTACAAAGACAAAACTTCTATCTTTGTTCGGAGGAAACAAAGTGAGTGAGTTCCAAAGGCCAGCATTTTAAAAGCCACATATTTGCTATAATTCACGTCTGCTACTTCTAAGTACAGTTTCTGGGCACAGTGCAGAGCTTCATAGTATAAAATGAAAAAAGGCTGCTTGTCATGTTTAGAGGAATAATTTTTAGTTTTCAAGTGAAAAAAGAGTCCATTTACTTTCAGGATAAAAACAATAAACTGTATTTAAAATTTTGCATATTATTCATCACTTCATATATGTCGTTAAAAATGTAGCATGTCTCATATATCAAGAATGCTGCTTTAATTTTAGGATGTGTGATATTCGTTTTTAAAACAATTGCACATCAACTCAGAGGGTGTGTAACTCTTTCCTATTCCTCTTGCAAATCTCAAAACAACATCATGGCAGGAATATAATCAACTATAACAATCATAATTACAATATGTACTTTAGCTGAAATGACACACATAAGAATTTCTTTATCACCAAGTTGTTTCCCTGAGACATTTGAGTCTTCCTATCAGTGTGAAAAACAGCCTTCAAGGATCAGCATACTGCTAGCAGCACATTTCAATTGAAAAGATATACAATATGCTGCCAATTTCCATCAATGGATACAATCTGAAAGATATAAAGACACGAAATGCACTTATTATCGCATTTAATGGTTGATCGAAAAGAATTGCGTGTTTGGACAGAATTTTACCCAAAGCCGAGGTCGACATACGAAAGCATTGCGCGCCCCTTGCCCAGGAGCCTTCGCGGCTGCACCTCCTGGTGCTGAGAAGCTGCTCCTGTTGATGTCTGTGCTCATGAATGCACAGCATTAGAAAAGCGAATGGTAAACAATAAAAGTAGCTTATAAAGAAGCTTTCAGATAGAAGCTGAAGCTATTTCTAAAGGAATCCAGCACAGTGATTGTCCTCGGTTCCTCGCCATTCCCAACCAGAGAGAGAAATAGTAATAAATATAGTTTGCAATACAGCAGATCAAAAACACGGCTGTGGAGTCTATGCATATTAATACTGATAGACTTGACTCAACAATATTATTGCCTTCACACATCTGAAACATGCGTGGTGATTGGATGATATTGCTGCAATTGCACACCATCACCCAGTCCTGCATTTGATTTTTTTTTTATATCCTCACCTGTGGACATTTTTGCATTTATTGTCAGATAGAGCAGGAGGGAGAGAGGAAAGAAGAGAGAGAAACATCGATGTGAGAGAGACACATCAAGTGGTTGCCACCCACATGACCCCAATCGGGCCGGGGACAAACCGCAACTGAGGTACGTGCCCTTAGCGGGAATCGAACAAGGGACTCTCCAGGCCGCAGGCCAACACTCTAACTGCTGAGACAAACCGGCCAGGGCTGATTTTGAACATCAAAATTTATTATATTTATTAAGTCATAGATGGTACCTCTAGGAAGACCTTAACTCCTATTTAGTCACATCATTTGGGTAAACTTTACAACAATGCTTGTTAATTAGGTTCTGCATTAGGATGCCAAAGACTGCACACTGACCGATGCCACACAGACACCCAGACTACACTCAAGCAGCATTGCTCTAGGTCCTAGAGTCCAGGAGATTTCTGAAATTCACCCTGAGCACTGGGTCTGGTGTCCATGTTACTACTCCCTGAAGATCTCTACTGAAGTATCACACATCGGGAGAAGACAAGGTAAACAACCAGCAAGGACATAGGCCTGCTGCAGTCACTTCCCTGAGAACAGAGCATCCTGCTTTTAAAAAGCAAATTAAGGTTTGCAATTCACATATTCAGACAGAGCTGGCAGATCATAAGTCGCTAAAGTGCTGGTATAACATAGGTGATCTGAAAAGCCTGACTCATATTCTGTCCCATAGAAATATTCAGTGACTGAGAATTCGATGAATTCGTAGGGATTTCATCATACAGCAAATAACGAAACATTATGAAAAAGAAAGAAAACATGTTGATGTGAAATCAAGAAAAGATGATGAGGCCTAGTAAGTTCAACAACTTCTTTGCGCGAGAAGACAGTTCAGATGGTCAAAACGAAATGGTCGTTCTTGTTTTATTGTAAGGGGGGTGGAGCTTGTTTGAAAGACTGGGCTTTGTGAAGTTCACTGTTGGGATGTGCCTCCCATGCACACAATGGCTCCCTTACCATAGCTAACTTTCTCGTAAGGGGTTGGTCTTGCACTGGGAGAATGTCGATTCATAACTGGTAGTTTAACGGAGAGATTCAATAGCACACATTTCATTATTTTGGCGAAAGAAGGCACTTATCAGTTGATGAACCCAGTGCTGCTGTGGAAACAGACATGCATTTGCTTCTTTTTGTTCGTCTTTCCTGGCTCCTAGCATAACACATGCCATCTGTATGGTCTAAGCGTGTCAGATGGAAACATGTCTCTCCGGTTCTCATTTATGAGATTGTAATCATTTATGGGACTGACCGTATGCATTTCAGAACATCTTCAAATAAATAACTTCTCTTTTCTAAAAGGTGTGACCTCTGAAGAGAATTCTTTTTGATTATATATTGTCATGTGATTTTTTTAAAAAACTTTATTGTTGAAACTTTCACCCCATAGCTTGGTTTATTTCTAAGTACTGCTTCTCTCACAATCATGTGCCCCTCTATGTCTGTGCCCCCTGTGCAATGAGAAAATGTGCCCTTCCATACATTTAAGTAAATAAATAAGTAAAAAGTAATAACACAGGTTCAAATTAAGTTGGAAGAGGGATAAAATTTTGACTGGTTTAAATCAATAAAATCACAGCATTTTGATTTCGGGTATACATTTCACATGTGGATGGAATTGGTTTAAAAGCCGAAACTGAAATTTTTCATTACTATATTTGCATCTGTTATTTTAAGTTAGATGTAAATCTATAAATACACTGTATTTGTTATTAATTTGGCTTAAAGGCAAAGATTCGTTGACCATCTTCAAAAGCTAATAGGTTGAAGAGAATTTGGATATCATTTAAGTATTAAACATACTAATTGTGAAAATAGATGGATTCACATTAAAAGATTTTTCCATACTATACAAAAGTCTTTTAACAACTGTAAATATACTGAACTAAATTCTATTCGATCATGCTAAAAATACACCAATGTAAATAAAGATAACAGAACTCAGTGAAAAGTAAATTTAAAAAAGCCTAATTTCAGCTTTCAGATGACTAATGATATAGCATTAAAATGTTCTCTAAGTAGTTAGAAAGTGCAGTCTGATTTGGCAATAAGGGCATTTCCTGACATTACACCAGTTATAAGAAGCCAGTTGAAGAGACTTTAGCCCAAAAAGAACCCCTAGAAAATTTTCATCATAAATTCTCCCTGCATTGGAATGGGATTGGCATTCTGATTTCGCTTTCTTTAGGGATGTCTCAATAAATAAAGAAGGAACTTATATTTTATTATATAACTTATTTTCATTTCAATTTTCCAACAATGAAAATTTAAAACAGTGGAATTTTAGCCAGGGGACTAGAACAAGGAATATTGCACCTCTTCCATAGATTCTGTGAACTCTTCAAAGTGCTCTAAAAACACTATCAGTGTGATTAGCAGCAAAGCATTAGCCTAACCAAAATCCCCTGCCCTCACATATATGTACATATACACACACTGTACATCGATATATTCTACTACTCTAACTTAAATATGACTCTTTGATAGTTATTCCCAAAGGCTGTGCAAGGTTACAAATACTGTCTACACTGTATCAGGTTCAAGACCACTAGCACCCAAGTGGTTAAGAGAGAACCAATCCTTTCATTAAAACAAGCAAACAAAAAAAATTCTATTACATTTTAAATATCTCTTAAGATTAAAAAAAAAAAAAAGGAAGATACAGTGAATCACCCTATATGTTATAATTCTGAGTCCTATAATTTTCTTTATCTAAACTATTTTGTATACATGGAAGGCTAGATGTCTTTGAACATAGTTTCAGCAATCTTAAGTATAAAATATTTCTTTGAAAAATATGACAAGTTTTTCTTGTTTTGTTTTGTTTTGTTTCTAACTTGGAGGAAGGTTCTGTGAGGAGTGGGTTTCTTCCCATGAGGCGTTGTGCAGCATTTTCTCCCGGAGCCGCCCGTGTATGATGCAGCCCAGGAATCGAGCCTCTGAGCACCGCGGCCCTGCAGGCATCTTGGTCTGTTCTCGTCCACACTCTCTTCACCGTACCCAGTCCTTAGGCATCTTGCCGTAGTGGCTGAAGTCCAGAACTTGAACTTCACAGGGGAAACCCAGTTTATTCACAATGTAGCATGTTCATCTTTTGGTTGGGTGGTTCTTGGTCCCCCACGGGTAGGAGTGAAACCTAGAAGAATCGGAAGTGAGAAGAGTTCTGTGGAGTCACAAATATTTTAGTTCAGACTTTCAATTTCAAGAGTAGTAGCTCAGGGATATAAGCGAGTAAATCACAACAAATATAACAGCGATTCTAAATATAATAGAATGGGAACATTTTTAGAAAGCTGCCTTTTGCTGACGTTCGGTGCTAACAGTGTCTTTTTCTAATTATGAACTCAGTAGAAACCGATAACCCTTTATGGTGGAAAAATAAACACCCATTCAAAGTAGCTTGTACATTTAAATGCCTATGGACAATAAATATCTATTTTATATATTCATCAGCTAATTGGAAGGGGGAAGCAATGCAAGTTGATTGAATGTAGATCTATTTTTATCTTGCATTATTTCTCAACACACATTTCATTGTTACAAATAAAATATTAATGTATACCTGTAAGTACGTAAGTTTGCCATCTAGTCGCTCACAGAAGTCCATTTTACTCTCACAAACAAGGAGAAAATTAAGGCATGCTAGGTTGTATCTTCCAGGTAAGGAAGTTAGGTGTTTGTGTGTGTCAAATATGATGAATCATACAACCCTAGAAACGATCAGGAATAGAGCCGACGTTGGCCTGGCCAGGTTTGTTTTGACCTTGTTTGATTTTCTCTACCCTGCTTTTCTTCCTCTCGACTCAGTCCTGCCTCTCCTTCCCAGAAGCCAGAAGTGAGGAATCCCCTTTGGTCATAGCCTCTTGCTGCTGTTCCTGTTTCTGTTACCAGTACTTTTAAACTAATGCAGCATTTTGTGCCAGAGACCTTCTTTCTACCAACTGCCCCAGCACTCTCCCCATTATTTAAACAGTTCTAGAAATATCCCCAAAGATAGCCAATAGCTAGATGCCAACAGCATCTCTCTATCCCTAAATACATACAAACGCTTTCATCTAAGCTGAAAACGTGCCTTATCTTGGCTTAATGCTTTAGTTGCTATCTTGATGCTACGTAGACGTGTGTATAAATTGGAACTGACAGTCCTAAGCTGTAAACATGAATTAGGTCTATGATTCTCGGTGCATGGTAATTTAATGACAGTTTGTGATGGTGATGATAAAGACGATGAGAGTAGCAGATCTGAGCAGAAACTGGTGCGGGAGTTAAAACCATGTTTCCCATTTCTAGCCATGTTGCTAGGGCAGCTTTTCTCAACTTGTGTTCCAAGTAAAAGCTGAGGAACCACTATAATAAACAAGGTCAACAGCTTTCTTTCCTACAGTCCATCTCAGAGTCTTTAATATACTGTGGGTGTCAACATTTTCTACAAATTCAACATTGTTCCTTCTGAATTTCCCAAATATATTTGGTCATAAAATTTTATTTTTCAGGGAACATCTATGAACATCCCTGATAATATTGGCTCTTCTATGAAACCTATTGGGGAAAATACAATCTAATGATTCTAAATACCGATTCTAACTACCTCTACATGTTCTATGTTATTTAACATCCTCTAGCCTTTCATTATTAAAAAATCATGACTGTCACAGATGATCTGATTTGTATTTGAAATTACGTGTATTTCCAGCTTCTGAAGTATTAGGTGCTTCTAAGCAGAGCGTGGCTTCTTTCTTAGGAATTAATCTGGAACACCAGTAAACAAGTGGTGGTTTTCAGCACAACTAAGGGTTATTTTTACTAGTAAACTGTAAAGAGTCCTTCTCCCAAGATATATTCTATCATTGCGATTAGACGCAGAAAGGGGAGTATTATGGCTGTATGGATTGATAAATGGGTGATTCATATTAATGTGAAGCATTTTAAGAAAATTTATTTCATGTCCATCATATGTTGCTTGAATTTCATCATTTAAAGTATGTCTTCCTATTCTATTCACAATTCTTAATATAGCTATGAATAATTTTTTTGCCTTGCTATTAAGCATCTTATCTGTTCATTATAATAAGAGCATTTGCAACATCTTTTAATACAGAAATATGTCTTTGGAAGCAGTAACAATGTTTGATTTTTTTTAAAAACTTGATAGTAGAACTGAAAAAGGATAAGCAAAAATTTCAAAATAAGGCTGAAATTGTTTCTTTAAAAAGAGAAAATAGCTCTTCTAAAATCTTCTAAATCCCGTAAACACCTGTTTTTTCACCAATATTTAGTTGATATTTCTGCAAAATATGAAGATAGTTATCGCCAATGATCCTGAGTCTCTGAGAAGATACATATTAAAAACCAACAAGCATGACTTTTGCCCCCATTTAAGCCAAGGCACTTGGAATAATAAGATGCTGAGAGTTGATATCAGAGACATTCATACTCTCCAAGGAAGACTGAGTGTTCTCATTCCAAGAGTAGAAAGTGAATTAAATCTCTTTTAAGTGGTAGGAGGAAAGTGATTATGGAGATGGTGATTTCTATTAACCATATACCTTTGGAAAATGAGAATTACTCATCATTTTGCTGCAGTTACAAATCACAACAGAACTAAACTGACAAAGGTAGTATTTTGGAAATACACTGTCAAGCCAAAAGAACAAGCAGTTGAATGATCTCATGTGTGATTCATAAGAACGACTCATGGAAACAGAAGAAAAACCAATGTTGGAGACTGAACTAACCTCAGAAAGAATCTATTTTCCACATAATGATCTGAACAGGACGTTCTTGGGCCCTCTTTCTCTTACCAAGGCTACTAACCCTTATCTTTGGAGAAGACTTCTTGAATAATTTAAGTCATAAAGATAGTTCACTACTAGACAGGAAGGCAGCAGTAGCTCCAGGCATACAAGGCCACTTTGGGAGAACAAACTCTATAAGACTGTGCTTCCCACAGCAACTTTTAGCCATAGAGAATGTGCAGGTGGTTGCTTACTGTCAGTACGCAAGCTATATGGCTTCTCGGGAAAGCCACGAGACAACTCGAGTGTAGTAGACACTGCCAGCGCCCGTGGGCCCCGCAGCCAAACCCCCGCAGAGCCGGCCTGATTCCCAGCGGCTGGCATCTGCACTTGTTTCCTTGAGATTTCCTCTGGTCTCAAGCATCTGCTGTGTCCACCCGACAGAAGGCCAGACGCCAGGTAACGAACATCCCCTGCAGAAAAGCCTCAGGCGACGACTGATGGAAATGGAGGAAGCTTGAGGCCCAGGTTCTACACAAGCGCTCGGGCCTCCCCGGTGTGGCCAAGCTCCGGTCACCCACAATGGTACTTTGCTTGAATATGAAACCCCTATTGAATTACTCTTCTCTCCCCTAGCAGTGCTTCCTGGAATTGCCTCCCAAATAACTAATTGGACTCAAATCTTTGTGCCCGACAGTAACACTGCAGAAATCCAGAACTAGATGAAATTGATAAAATAGAGTATATTGTTAGAGCACCAATGATGGTTATAGTAGTAGATACTACACAGCCCGGGTGAACTGAGTTTCAAATGGCAACACATCACAACAAACCCCTCTCTCACAAATTTAAAGCAACCAAAAGTGATTCTTCGTTTAGTTACTTTTTTTTTTTCTCTTGCTTTCTATACAAATAATGGGTAGACTTCTGTGATGGAAATCTGAGTTCACAGCTCTAATGGAATGGACAAAGAAGTGCTTAATTTAAAAAAAAGGGAGAGAGAGAGAGAGAGAGATGCTTTACCATTTCGTTGCGTTCATTTTTTTTCATGGGAGTAAATTACTACCGTGGGCACCCTTTCTTTTTCAACAATACAGCACCCATACAAAACACGAGTAACATATAGTCTACTGATGGCAGTATCTAGTCTAGGACAAGATATTTTATAAAAGTGTTTAAAATAAAAGTTGGGAAAACAACCCTAGAATCAAATATAGAGAAATCAGACCTAATATCCACTGATCTCAATTGATTTTTCAAATTTGAAAGCAAACTCAAGAGCTCACCTGTTGGAAGTAAAATTGTAATAACCCGTTTCCTCTAGGACTTCTTCAATCACAGTCTGAAGTAGGGAAAAAAAACAGATTAGCATTGAATTAAAGGCAATAATCAATGGGGGAAAGGGAGGGACATCTGTAATACTTTCAACAATAAAAAAAAAAAAAAACACAATACAACCATCCCGTGCACCGCAGAAACCTCACCTGCATCTGCTCATACGTTAGTCCCTCCTCCACATCCGCGCTGGTGGGGAGGCCTGCAACAAATTATGGGAAGTCTGGCATTTGGTTCACATTTTCTTAGTTAGACTTTAGTGGCAATTATGACTCAACTGCAGTGAAAACAGGCCGGTTTCTTAATGATGAAGATGAGTACTTACACACACATTCCGAGTAGTCTTCACTGAGAAGAGTCAGACTTTTTTTTTTTATCCTCACCAGAGGACATTTTTCCATTTTGTTTTGTTCAGGTAGAGTGGGAGGGAGAGAGAGGAACAGAGAGAGAGAGAGAGAGAGAGAGAGAGAGAGAGAGAGAGAGAGAAACATCGATGTGAAAGGAACACATCGAGTGGCTGCCACCCGCACAACCGACCAGGGCCGGGGACAAACTGCAACCGAGGTACGCGCCCTTAGCGGGAACCGAACCCGGGTCTCTCAGGACCGCAGGCCGACGCTCTAACCGCTGAGCCAAACCGGCCAGGGCGAGAATAGTCAAACTTTTTGTTTCTCTTCCTTTAATAAGTGTAATAACTGGCTGCTTTTGAGGTGGCCATCAAACAATAGTACACAAACATGTAGGGTACTGCTCATGACATAAATTAGCCAGTTAAGTTAGTGTGAATTAGCCAGTTAAGTTAGTGTGCATGCGTGCGTGTGTGTATGTGTGTGTGTGTGTGTGTGAGTGTGTGTGTGTGTGTGTGTTAAGAACAGATGAGGAGTGATTCCAAACTGAAACTACCTGATGGGTGAGTGTTCTGACAAGTAAACTCTTCCTAGTCCACAAGGCAGAGAGTAGACATGTGCTAGACAGAAAATAAATTTTTAGAGGGAAGCAGAAATAGACCGTGAAAGACAACAAAGATCTGACCTTTCCCTGCGGCTCCTAGAGGGGAGTAAAATCCATACATTCAACGCCAAAAGGCAATACTTCTTTTGCTGTTTGGTCTGAATATGATATACCGACACCTTAAACTACCCGACTCTACCCGAAGTTATGTCAACCAGCTTCCACTCAAATCGGTCAACCCTGACTTAGGCGGATGCCCCGCGGTCCCCCTGCCAGTGTGGAGAGAGAGCAACCGGCTTGAAGGTGGAGGGGTGGCAGGAGCCATGAGGCACGAGGAAGTCTGCTTCTCAAGCCCAGCTTATAGGTGGTCCCACAGGTGCCCACAGGCTCTGCTGTCTTTGCTTTTGCCACGCCTGCTGTGACAAGGGACACGCCTGGTCTGCTCTGGGGTGGGGTGTCTGGGTGTCCAGCTGTCCTGGTAGAATCTGTCCACTCACTCTCAGGCCACAGACAGACTTCAACCAGAGCTCTTCAGTCCACCAGAGCTGCTGCCGTAAGAAGTCTCGCCTATAGCGAGAGATGCTTTCAAAAGTGTGGAATCTAATGAACAAAATAGACCCAGAGACATGGAAGCAGGAAACAGACTGACAAATCTCAGGGGGAAGGGAGGAGGCGGGAAGAGATAAACCGAAGAACTTACATGCATACATGCATAACCAGTGGACACAGACAACAGTGTGGTGAAGGCAAGGTGGGAGGTCAATGGGGGACATCTGTAATACTTCCAACAATAAAGTTTTTTTTTTTTTAAAAGCAAATGACTTTAAACAACAGTTTATCTTCACCTTATGGATTTCTCAGGAACTATTTAAAATGTAATTCTGCCTCTACAGGTTAGCTTTATTCCAGGCACTGAAGATTTAGGGAAAATTTAATAATTAATACATGAAATAATTCGCCTACATTAGGCAACCACAGGAGCACAACCCAAGTGAGTGCTTTTCTACACTGAGAAGATGGCAAGTCTTCATTTAACCATGAAATTTGACTTCTACACCTTCCACTGGTGTCATAACTAGAATTGACACAAATCTGAAAACTACCAAGGAATTCTGAAGCATCAGAGTAGCTTACAAACTTCGGAGAGTTCAGATTTCACAAGAAATGCTACATTTTGCTGAGTCACTACCAATGGCCAAGCACTTTTTCTATGTTGATACAGATACTCACTATAACCCTGTGATGCAGGTACCATTTTTTTTTTTTTAAATCCTCACCTGAGGACATTTTCTCACTTTTTGTTCAGATAGAGTGGGAGGGAGAGAGAGGAACAGAGAGAGAGAAACATCGACGTGAAAGGGACACATCGTGTGGCTGCCACCCGCACGACCAACCAGGGCCGGGGACAAACTGCAACCAAGGTACGCGCCCTTAGCGGGAACCGAACCCGGGTCTCTCTGGACCGCAGGCCAACGCTCTAACCGCTGAGCCAAACCGGCCAAGGCAGTACCATCTTTATCCCCATTTTACAGGCAAGGAAACTGGTATGCAGAGAGGTCAAATAATTTGCCCAAGATCAGCTACTAAATGGATGAGTCAAAATTTGAATCTAGGCATCTGTGTCTCAGGGATCTGTACCATTAGTCTCCATGCTATATTGTCCTACCCCTATGTGAGATTTATGCAAAAAGAAGAAAAAATTTAAATAGGTCTGATGTGGATTCTTTGGGCAAGTTTCAAATTTTCTTCATTTTAAATATTTAAACTCTTTGTTTCTGCTTTTTTATCTCCCTGGATGCTTTGGGTGATTTCCCATCACCAGAAAAGCAAGAAGAAATAAAATATGATTCGCCCACAGGGGTTCTGCGGGGTGTCTGGGTGTTCATAAATGATCCAGGAAGCTGCCACACGGGGTCAAGTCAATCTCAGGGAACTTGTAGCTTCCAACTATTGCCATAGATTATCAAAATAAGCTCTATTTTTCTTTTAAATGGAAGATTATAATCTTCTAAGGATAGCTGTTGATCAAAAAACTGTTATTTCTTTGAGAAAGCCAGATTCCAGTGTTGAAGACCATTACCTGCCAGGTCGAGTGAGGACAGGCTGTTTCCACCCGATGAGTGATGTAATAAATGGTAATCTGCTGTGAAGAAGTTGGGCTCGATCGGTTCTGGGGATCCCTGTGATAACTGGAACAGAAAAAGCGAAACCACATCGTCTTTCACACTCAGAAGCAAATGGCATGAGACCTCTGTGTGAGCTTTTCCATTTCCTGTGTCTCTGCACAGAAAATGTAGTGCTCTTTGCTTTTCAATCCCTTGTAAATAGATAAACACACATCTTCTTCCTTCCAAATCAACGTATACGTTGGAGACAGCCTAATCACAGTGAAAGCAAGTAAGACAACTCCCTGGTCACATGAAAAACAAAAAACAAAAAAAAACTCTACACTTTATAGCTTTGTGAGAGCAACATAAAAAATAGATAGAAAAATAATGTCATGGACTGAGACATAAAAATGTTGGTTTATTTTTTTAATCAGGTGTAGGAGGAATAAACTCCAATGATTCAACAGAACAATGTTTAGCCCAAATCACCATCCCTTTTCATGTATCTGCTTTGAATAATGCCTTCTTTCAACCAAAGCAAATATACTTCTTAATGTACTTTTCTGAATTGCTATTAATTAATTTTAATTTTCAAACACTGATTTCCAACACTCTAACGGAAAGAATAATTCACTAAATGACAGAATTTATTGATGTTCCAATGGTTTAATGCCCCTCTGTGCAGCTGAATTTTTTAATGAAATTTTAGGCTATAAACATTTCCCACTCCTTTCACCTTTAATTCCAACCAGCACATGGACTGGCCAAGTTTTAGTGCCCATGTTAATATACTTTTAAAATGCCGATTCATATTAATAAACCAGAAACAAATGGCATAATTTGGACTGCGTGACAGTGGTTACTTTGGAGTCACACACTTGTGTTCATGAATGAAACTACACCATTGTCAATCCCGTGAGAAAACTGTTTGGCAGTGTATAGTAAACTTAAACAACATATGCATACCCCATGACCCAGCAATCCCACTCTGAGGGAGAAACACAAAAGAAATGAGTACTTCTGTCCATCAGCAGACTTGTGTAAGGATGTTCATAGCGCCTTCATTCATAATAACCCTGAACTATAACAACCTCTCATGTTCATTGGGTAGCAGGACAAATAGAGCTATTGTGATGTGCTTACCCAATGGACTCCTTCAAGGCAATGACAAAGAACAGCAGATTATGAATATGACATCAAATAGGTTGAGCAAAAGAAGCCAGAAACAGAAGAATATATAGTATATGGCTTCGCCGATATATATTTTCACAATCAGGCAAAACTAAGCAATGGTGATAGAAATCAGGGCAATAATTACTTTGTGGCAGGGGGCAGAGGTTGGGCCGGAAAAAGGCAGGCAGGAGCCTTCTTGGGGACCGGAACTGTTCTAAGTTTCAATGTGGGTGGTGACATGAGTGAACATGTGTGTTAATGTTCATGGAGCTGTAAATGCATCTCACTGTATGCATTGTGTTGTATACCTTAATAAAAATATTTTCTATTAGCGATTTATATTGCGTCAATGCACTTTGGATACTGTAAATACAAACCATGTGTGTTTGTACAAACCTTCATGTGGCCAAACACTACACTCTGGAAAAAGGTATAGTTCTACCCTTCCTTATTCCTGAAAACTTATTTTTCTTACTTTGGTGACAACTGATGAAATTAACAAGCCTTTTGTAAAATGATGAGGTTGTGAGGTTGCAACACACTGTAATGCAGGAGGGTCTGAGAGCTTCACGCTCAGGAACTCTCCCAGGGGTCGCCAGAGCCCTTGGAGGTGGCCCTACGCAATCTCTATTTCTTATATCCAAGCTAATAGGTTGCTCTAACTCAGCTTCTTAATATGTGTTACAATGCTAAAAATGACTTCCCAGTATCACCTTCCAAATGACTTTGGATGGGATTTTCATATGGTTGAGCATAGAAGTAATTTGGCCGCCTGAAATACCCTACTTATAGAAAACTTATTTAAATCAATGTAATTATTAAGTGTATATATCTTTCCATTCTAAAGATTTCACAGACAGGAGGATGTTTAAGGCTGCACAGTAAAGCATGAGAATCGCAACCTGGAGACGTTAAGAAAGCCTTTTGAAAATGACAAGGGTAAGTCCTTCTTATTGATTCAAACCTCGAAGAGAAGAGGTTCCAGTACTAGTGTCGCATTAGCAGTTTCCTTCAGCTTGAGACCTGCAGATCGCCAGAGGACGAAGGCAAAAGTCTAGTCTTGTGTCTGAATCCTAGATACACTTACTTTTATTCTAGGAGCTTCCCAAAACTTCTTTTTGCAGCTCAGTTTTTTGACATACATATTTCTTTCAGCAAATCATTTTTGCCCCTTGCTATGTGCTATTATCTGAACAGGTTTTGTAAAACAGATAAAAACCATTCAAGCCACAGACACTGTTGATCTACCCAGCTTATTAGTATCATGCTGGGCTCCATGGAGGACATGGCATGATCTGGCCTCACAAGACTTGCTGTCTGGCTGTACGTGAAACCGCAGAGCGATGCAATAAGTAATGAAGGATGAAATGGGGATGTGTCATGAGGCTCTGTAGGAAAAACGCAGGAGCTGAGCCTTGAAGGATGGAGGTGGGTGGATGCAAGGAAGCAAAGTGGACATTCCAGGCAAGAGGACCTTGAGGGCAGAGGCTGGGCATTGCATATTAATGGCAAAGTGATCAAAGAGATATGATATAGATCCATGTTATGGCAGTATGAAGATTGAGGTTGAAGAGAGAAAGGCAAATGCCAGTCATTAATTCAATGAGTGTTTTTTTTAAATCAACTATTATGTGACATGCACAGATCCAAACAGTAAAAAAAAAAAATGGTGGCCCAAAATTTGTATTCTCAGAGTTAACTGCCTAATAAGGGAGCAATACATCTGTGAAATAGTCTCCTGGATATATATAAAATTATGACTGTGCTGAATACATCGAAAGACAGGCTCATGGTTCTAGGAAGTGAGAGATTTAACTTAGGGAAGGCTTTCCTGAAACAGTGAGTAAGAAGAGTGAAGGATGGAGTGGGGAGGTCATTACAGACAGAGGACAGAGCATGTGCAAAGGCCCGAGAGGAGGCAGCACAGTAGACAGGCTTCCCACAGGGCTTGTGCCTGGCGTGGAGACAGCAAAGGACAGAGTACGTGAGACGAGGGTGGACAGACAGGCGGGGCTGGGACCAAACAGGACTGTGAATACCAGGGTGAGCATTTTGGGGTTTTATACAAAAAGCCCCCAGAATTGTTTCTGTGTGTGTGTGTGTGTGTGTGTGTGCGTGTGTAGCACGATCAGATTTCTGTTTCGAAAGGATCACCCTGGATCCCTGGATGCAGCATACACAACAGTCTGAGGAAGGCTGGGGGCACTGGGTGAGAGCAGACACCACGAGGAGGCTCCTGCAAACGACGCAGGCCTGGGAAACCGGACCCCAGAGGGCAGATGAGAGGGTAGAAAACTGGGAGCTACTAAGTTTTTTTGCTGATAAAAAGTAAGTGTCTAGGAACTAACGACTAGTCTGGCGAGACGGACTGGAGAGCAAGGAGAGCAGCAAAGAAGTGGGGACAGAAACGCAAGAGGGAAGGGCCAGGCGCGTGGGCCGGGAGGTGGCCGAAGGGAGGAATGGACATGGAAGGCTGAATCTCTCCCTTCGTTACAACAGCAGCACCTGTGGCCCTCGACGAGCACTTACTACATTCTGGACACATCTACATTCCATCTGGTTCTTACCACTGCCCTCGAAAGCAGGCACTATCCCCCCATTTTAGATGAGGAAACGGAGAAGTAAAGTAATTTGCTCAAGAAGCATAGCTAGTAAGTAGCAGAACCAGGGCTTAAACGCTAGGACTGTAACGTCAAAGGTCAAGTACAACCACCTACACTGTGAAAATGCCCAGGTGCGAATAATTACAGGACACAGGACGTCAGTGGAGCGGTGGACAGTGACCACACCATCAGAGTGAGAAGAAAACTGATGCTTCCAGTGACACTGTGGCAGACGAGGGAGGAAGAAGGTGGCATCTCCAGTTCTGGACACAGCAGATGGCAAAGTCGACGTCCGCCCAGTGGGAGGAAACGGGGGCCCTACAGCAGGACCGTCAAAGCCGAGCCCTGCAGCTGCCCCGCTGGGCCCGGCGCCGCAGTCCTGGGCGTCAGCGGCAGGAACGCTCCGCCTTGGCCCCACGTCGTGCTTGGAAGAAGGTACAAGACCCTCCTTCCAAACGCACACAAAAGGGCTCCCCGGCCCTGCAGGAACATCCACAGTCCTAAAGAACACACTTTTGGAGTAAACAAGTAAAATCAAAGAGAACAGACTGAATCATGGTCACCACCCCCCACCAAAGAACACACTGATTTTGAGCAAGTAGTGAAAAAGGTTAGATTCAGCGGTTGATTGAGAATGTAGTTATTTTTCAGGTGAAACCTAAATCGAAGAAAACAGTGAGAAACTAAAACGTAATGCCCATTAAATTCCTCCAAGCACACGTGCTTTTCCATGTCATAAAACAGGCTAGTTGTTCAGGATCGACCACGGAGGAGGGACTCGAAGACACTAGACAAGCTAAGTCGGGTGCCAGAAGTGACCTTTCCACCAGGTGCCCGCACCTGTCACTCCCAGTCCTCGGCCTGCCTTCCGGCCCAGCGTCCTCGTCCCCTCTGACCGACTCGCTGTGAGGTTCAGGCCACCGTGTCAGCAGAGGTGCCCAGTGTCCACGCCCATCGCTCTCCTGCTCACACGGGTGCTCGTGCCCTCCCGGCGCCGGGCCCCAGCTCCAGGGATGCACGTCCTCAGCCTCCCCCGCGCCCCCGGAAGGAGCCCTGCTACTGCGGTGGTTCCGTTCCCGCCAAGGACTGTGCCTCTGACACAGAATTTCATAACTAAAAGAAGCCCGGAAACCCACTGGTCTGCGCTAATCACAACCAGGGGCTCATCCTCCCAGGACCTCCACTGGACGCTAACATTGTCCAGGCAGAGGATGAAGGCCGGCCTGACCCCACTGGGAGGAGCGCCCTCCTATAGAGGCTTCTCCACAAGGTCCAAACAGGTGGACCCCGGGTGCTGCCCGTTTAGGGCACCTCCACGGGGCCCTGGCGAGGGCCAGGCAGATACAAGGTCTGATTATGATGTGCCTGAAACCATTCATTCAAGGCCAAGGGGAGGAGCAGTCTGCTGCCTGGAAAAGGGCCAGAAACCTGGAGTTGGGAGTCAGACTGCCAGCCCCTGAGTAGGGGAAACTTGACCCCGCTGGTCTGTGCTGATGTGGCGACTGGAAAAGGAAGAGAAGGGCCAGGAAGGCCCATGCTCACAGGGAGCATGGCCAGAATACCCCGTAACAGGAACAATGCCCTGGGTGTGCCCAGGCCTTCTCCAGCCTGGTCTGTGGATGGCCGCGTCCGGGGCTGCGCAGAAATGCAGAACCTGGGCCCGGAATGCAGTTGCATCTGGATAAATATTTTGGCCTAAAATGGAGATGTAGTTGATATTTTTGCCTCCCCTCCCTTCTCCACTTTCCACCTCTCCTCTCCTTCGATTTATTTTTTACAGAACAAAGGTAATGTTTCTTGTAATATTCCTGAGTCTAGATTCAGCTGATTACCCCCACGGTGTCATTTTACATGTTCTCTTGCCCCCTGTATTTGCTACAGATGGGCAGTTAGATCTGAGAAAGGGCGGGCAGACTTTTTCTGTACAGGGTCAGATAGCAAATACTTTCAGGTTTGCAGGCCATATGGTCTCGGCCGCAGTTAACTTAAATGTGCCTGTAAAGCAAACACAACCATAGATGATATGTGAGTGCAGGTGGTGTGTTCCAATAAAACTTTATTTACAAAAACAGGCAGCAGGTTGGATCAGCCTGAGGACTAGGGCCTGACCAGACGCAGATTCAAGCTCTTAGTACTTCACGGACAGGTCTGCGCACACTCATCAGGAGGCAAATAATGTCTGGTTGCCTCTTGCTTAGTCTCTAGATCATTTTAGTGAAAATATTAGAAAATGTGTACATTTTTAAGAGATGAGATCTATGATGAATTCATATTCATTCGTGTTGATTCTTGCCATCCTACCTTGTTTCTGTCTCTCCTTTCTGCCATTCTAGAAGTTCTACTTCCCAAACACACCTGTACAATTACTCAGACTTAATTTGTTAGAAAAGGGCTTTTCCTTTTTTTTAATTCCTCTCTATAGCCTGCTGGGTCATAGCCACAGTGATCCCCCAATGACTCCTCCACACTGGAGACACGTGTCCCTAAGTTTCAGAAGCCTCAGGGGGAACGTGGAAACCAAGCGCGTTCCCTGTGTTCTCACCACTCACTGCCCCCGGGCCTGGGTGGGGTGCCATGTCAGTCAAAGGCTAGCTGACCTCTCCTCCATGGCTGTGCAGGGATGGGAAATCCATTTCTGAACAGCAGTCATCGCTAACAAGAGATTATACCAGAAAGGAACAAAAACAGAGATCACAGGTTCTTCTCATTTAGGTTTAGATGGGGGCAGGAGGGCTTCTTTCTATATTTATGTAGAAATATATGGATATATTATGGATATATCTCAATAAGGAATAGAACCAACACAGACTACATTACACAGAATATTATATATGTAATATTCTGTATTCAACAATTATTCATTAAGCACCTACCACGTGCCAGGCACTATGCAAGACCCTGAGGAAATCAAAGATGAATAAGACGCACTTACTGCCTTTGGGAAAAACAGAACAGTCAGGCAGATGACAAGGTATTTAAAACACAACAATGTGCGTGAAAAGGGACTGAGGCACGGGGAAAGGGAGATGAATTCTGGACGGGAAATGAAGGAAGGTGTTCACGGAGGAGCCGGCTTCTCAGTTCAGTGGTGAAGGACAGGAAAGACGTTAACATCCCAGGCTGATGACTTCTTTAGCCCCCGGAAGGCCAGGGCTGACTGCGTGATCGGGAGGGTCTGCACCGTGACGGCATGACAACCGCAAGCTTATATCAGAGAAGGGGACCAGAACATGCTTCAGAGGAGGATTTAACCTGCCTCTTAACCAAGCTGAAACTAAAGATGAATCAATGCCCCATTGGGCTCCCTCGCCCCTGCTCCCTGAACACCCTCCACCACCCATCCCTCCCTGCCTCTCCTCCCCCAGACCAGGAACAGAAGGCAGGTGCTCTCGTGGGAGATGTCGCCATAGTGCAGAAGCAGGCAGATAGGTCGGGGGTACAGTTTAACAAAAGCAAATCCCTTTTCTAGTGGGAGAGAAAAGAAAGACAGCAGGGAAGGGACCAAAACTGCAAACATGAGTAATAAAAGGGAAAGCGACGCCCTTTAAAGACACACACTGACAGGCTCACCGAGCAGGGATAGGGCCGCAGCCACCTCTCCATGGGCCGCTTGCGTCTGCAGACTGCGTACAACCTGGGTGTTCTGAACATCCTCTTAATAAGGATATAAAAATCTTTTCATCTATTCATGGGAGACTTGGGCTTCTGTCTTTTTAAAATCTAATTTTTGGGCCCTGGCTGGTTTGGCTCAGCAGTTAGAGCGTCGCCCGCAGACCAATGGGTCGCAGGTTCGATTCTGGTCAGGGGCACGTACCTCAGTTGCAGTTTGTCCCTGGTCCTGATTGGGGTCATGCAGGAGGCAGCCAGTCAATATGTCCCTCTCATGTCAATGTTTCCCCCTCTCTCCCTCTTCCTCTCTTTCTGAACAAAAATGGAAAAGTATCCTCGGGTAAGAATTTTTTAAAAAAGAAGAAAAACAATCTATTTTTGGTACCCATGGCATGATTCAGAAATACGGTACAATATGTCTCTGTGGCCCCCACCTCTGGGTCGATGTCCCCTAGCTCGGTTCCTCGGCCTTACTGCCCACAAGCCATGAAAGGGGCTGCTCTCCAGTCTCCCGCGAGGTGGGGTTCGCTCCCTTTACCTGCTGCTGTCTTTCCTGTTTTTCCAGCTCCTGTGTGTGCGAAGCCACCCCGGGCCCCCTCCCCCGTGAGGGCAACAAAGCCAAACCCCTACTGCTCCTATTTCTTATCAAAGAGCCCCTCGCGCTGCCTGAACAATGAGCACACTTATGCCTGAGACTGGAGACACTGAAGGAAAAAGAAATGTTAAAAAAAAAAGGTCATTAGCTGCATGACTGTGCCAAAGTTTAAGTGTATGATGAAACCTTAAAAAATTATATGAAATTGGAGTGGGACCAAGTATCGGTACCTAGATGGGCCCAAACTGCCCGGGCGGGGGCTTGTGACCATCTCCACGGCCTATAGTAAAAGGGCTGCCGAGCAGGACAAAAGGATTTCCTGTCCCCAAGTTGGGTTAAACGAAGATAAACAATTTTCTTTCTGTCTGATTGATTTGACCTCTTTGTGACTTAGTTTCTTCATTTGTGGACAGAATTATTTCCTAGCACCCGAAGTCCAGGAGATGGTAGAATGTCAAAGAAGTAAAGAACCTCACAAATAGTTCATCCCACCCTCAAATGGTTAAATGACTTTTCAGACTGGCAATACTCAATTTAGGGACCTGCTGAAGAATATTCGAATAGAAAGGGGGGGTGGGGGAGAATTTTCTAAAAAAGACTAAAGTATATTCAAAGTAAAATATTTAGTAATATTAATTCTTAGGAATACATGCAATAATGTAGAAAGAACTTTGCTAGTCTTCTGAGCATGATGACCCCGGACACAAAGGTGAGGAAACTGGAAGCAAAGCACATCCTCGAGTTAGTGTCTCAAGCAGTCTGAACGTTTCTGTCCCCCCAAATTCATGTTGAAACCTAATCCCCAAGGTGATGGTATAAAAAGGTGGGACCTTTGGGAGGTAATTAGGTCATAAGGATAGAACCCTTATATAAGTGTTCTTACAAAAAATGTCTTTATAACAGAGGCCTGAGTGACCCCTTGCCTCCTACATCACGAGATGCAACGAGAAGTAGGCAGTCACGACCGGGAAGAGGGTCCTCGCCAGACCCAGCCACACTGGCCCTCTGGTCTTGGACTTCCAGCTTCCAGGACTGTGAGCAACAAACCTCTGCTGTTTGTAAGCTCCTCAGTGTGTGGTAGTTTTGTTATAGCAGCCTGAATGCACTAACATGATACTAATATCCTTTAATAGAGGATAGAGCTTACAGTACAAAGCAAAGAAGGTATGAAATTTAACTGGAAGGATGCGCTTTTGTTAGTCAAAGAAGAATTTCTAAATGTAGAATAGCATACCTTTTTAATTTCAGATTTCAAATTACAAGGGTTACTCTGCTGGCTGAAGAGGGATTTCTTGAATCTCTCTATAACCCTTCTTTTCAAATTGTGGTGCGATGCTGGAGGAAGCTGCATGAAAGGAGAAAACAGTCATTATACGCAAACCGTTAATGCTGCACAGCTGACCGACCCTGGGAAGCATTTCCTGAGGGTCAGTATAACAATATTCCCTCAACGGGACTAAATAAGAATTTAAATTGTACTCCAAATAGCATACATTTATGTTACAATTTGCATTCTATAATCCAGGGGAAAAAAATATCACTCTGCTGTCTTTCAAACGCTGCTTAATTTATCTTACTGTTCTTTCATTTTCTTGATATTATTTTTCATACAACTAAATGACATATTGATTGCACATGTAAATTGACTTTTGTAAAGAACAGACTTGACGAGCTAGAATGCGTTCTCTCAGATGTTTAGATGTGTGGGTCATGCTCACAAGCAAGCACCGTGCTAAACACTAACCACGGCCCTTGCCCCGAAGGACCTGATACTTTGGATCAGGAAGCATTAATCTGCATGGGAACCAGTGGGATGCCTGCCTGTGGGTGCTTCCGAATATACTGCTGGACCGTGAGACCAGTCTTACTGAGAAGGAGAGAATGAGCCAGTACATATTAGGGCCAGGCCAGGATGAGTTAGGTTTAATAAGGAAGTAGTAGGAAGCTGCTGCAGAAGCTCAGAAAATGTGGGATTGGAGGAAAATAAGGATTTCAAAAAATTGATTTTGTACTACTTTGCAGGTTGGGTTTATACAAGGAAATCAAAGGTCATAAAAAGCACAGAGGAATAAAGTGAAGTGTGGGAGATGGATAACAGCGAAAAGAAATCGGGTCAACATAACAAGGAGTCTCAGAGTAGAAATGGTGTTTTGATTGTTTAAATATGGAGAGGTCTTGGAAGGAGGAACAGGAACCAGTAAGGTGAAAAAATGGCTAAGTAGGAAAAAAATTGTGGTAGTAGAAACTCTGAAGATTAAAATAATAATAACAATAATATAGTTCAGAGCTCAGATCAAAATAAAGAGAACTGCATCTGAGACAATTATCCCCCACCCCCACTCCATTTTTCTACACTCTTACAATTTTAGTTTGATGCCACATGACTGCTTGTGGCCAATAAAAATGATGTGTGTCACTCCGAGAAGGAAGCCATGCAAAGCCAGTGTCCTTCCTCCGTCCCTGCCCTCCTCGGGGGCAAGGAGCTTGGAGTCCAGATGGCAGAGCCACACGTGAACAAACAATGGCCAACTTTAGCTGAATGAGAAGGAAACCTCTATTGTGACAAGCCAAGAGACTCCATGGTATTATCTGTTAATGCAGCATAACTTACCACATCCTGACTAATACAATGGACATCAATTATTCAAGTTCCACAAAACAGGGAGGATATATAAAAGGCAATAGTAGAGTAAGAAATAGGGTCTAATCATCAAACAACAAGTGTTGGCGAGGGTGTGGAGAAAAGGGGACTCTAGTGCACTGCTGGTGGGAATGCAGACTGGTGCAGCTACTATGGAAAACAATATAGTGTTACCACAAAAACTTAGAAATGGAACTGCCATTTGACCCAGTGATCCCATTTCTAGGAATATACCCTAAGAAGCCTGAAACACCAATCAGAAAGAATGTATGTACCCCCATGTTTGTAGCAGCACTATTTACAATCGCTAAGATCTGGAAACAGCCCAAGTGTCCATCAGTAGACGAATGGATAAAAAAGCAGTGGTACATATACACAATGGAGTACTATGCAGCTGTAAGAAAGAAAGATCTAATCCTTTGAGACAACATGGGGGGACCTGGAGAGTATTATCATAAGCGAAACAAGCCAAGCAGAGAAAGACAAATATCACATGATCTCACTTATTTGTGGAATATAATGAAAATAACAGTCTGAGGAATGGGGTAGTCCCAGAAATGTGGAAGTGGGGTACACACTGACAATCCCCAGATGAAGGGGTGTAGGGGAAGAGATAAACCACAGAACTTACATGCATGTATGCATGAACAATGGACATGGACAACAAAGCTGGGGACAGGGCGGGGAGGAAGGGGGGTATCAGTGGAGGAAAAAGGAGAAACATCTGTAACAAAAATTAATTAATTAATTTTTTTTAAAAAAAGAAATAGGGTCTACAGGAGCTCACAACCACTGATCTTACAGCAAAAAAACAAAAAAACTGTTCCTCATCCCAAACACAGTAGAACACAGGACCCATTATGAAGCACTGTAATGATATAAAATAAAAACAATGAGTTTTAAAAATACACTGATAATCCTAGTTAATCCTTTGACCTTGCTTGAGTCAAAGCAGCTTAATTATAGAAGAATTAAGACTAGAGATTCTGAAGCCCTTCAGGGTACCCTTAAAGGTTTTGTAGGCTGATAGCACTGAACCTCTACTGATCTATTTTTAAAATATTTTTAATTGATTTTGAGAGAGAGAGAAAGGGAGCAGTAGAGAGGGAGAGGAAAACATTGATGTGAGAGAGAAACATCGATCAGCTGCCTCCTGCATGCTCCCCACCAAGGATCAAGCCCACGACCCGGCATGTGCCCTGACCAGGAATCCAACTGAAAACCTTTCAGTGTGCAGGACAACGCCCAACCAGCTGAGCTGCGCTGGGCAGGGCTCTGCTGGTCTATTTTTATGTCAATATTATGGCTTACTTTTATTTTGATCCAGATGTGATTACTACTTCCTACACCCAGCAAAGAGTCATGATTAATGTTGTCCTTTAAGGAAAAGAGGAAATCAAGAGAGATTTCTCAGCATTCATGAGCAAATAGTTGGAAGACAGATGAGAAGGAAAAATTAGTACGAATGATATTCGTGTGCATGAGAGATCAGCAAAAGTGGGATGGCTTTAACTTAGAGTAGGAGCAGACGATGAAGGGGGGAGGAATGTGCATGCTTTTTCCTAGCACGGGGATGATGGGTTGGAGTGGAGAAGAAATGGGAACAAATTTGGTAATTTCCTACTTGATCCACTAGAAGTTGCCACTTCCCTAAATTAAACACCAGATGGCAGTGTTGGCCCAGGACTGTCTAGTTGCTGCCCAGCATGGTCCCAACTGTCCAAGAGCAAGGCGGACAAGTCTTTTCTGATATACCTAATTTCTGCTATGGCAAACTTGTGAAGTGTGACCCATCAGTGGTCCATGGACTCCTTTAAAGGAGGCTAATCCCAGAACTGGCAGCTCAAATTCCTAATTCAGGTGTTCTTAAAATCCTTGCTATTCATTTAATTTGATAAGCCTCTAGTTAGAATTAGTCTTATTGCTCCTAATGGCTTGAATTAATTCCCATGAAAACCTTCTTGAGTAAGCTAACATTCCATCAACTTCATATTCATACATAGGGCAGTATTAAAAAGATACTGTGTCTAGCTCAGCCGGTGTGGCTCAGTGGATTGAGCATCGCCCCATGTACCAAGAGGTCATTGGTTCAATTCCTGGTCAGGGCACATGCCTGGGTTTTGGGCTCGATCCCCAGTACGGGGTGTGCAGGAGGCAATAGATGTTTCTCTCTCACAGTGATGTTACTAGATGTTTCTATCTCTCTCTCTCCCTCTCCTTTTCTCTCTCTCTAAAAAAAAATCAATAAAAACATATTTTTAAAAAGATATTGTGTCTTATTGGAATAACTATCACTGTGGACAGCACTGCATTTTTAGTTTTCACTGAAGAATTTAAAAATTTACCCAGTTTCATTGCAGGTAACATAAATATAAAAATATATAAAAGCAATAGTATTAAGAATAGAAAACTAAGACCCGTGATTTCTATGTGCCAGGCAGTGCGGACTACCCTTTCACGCACAGTACGTCACTTTTTTCCTACAACAAACTTATAAAGCAGGTGCTATTTATAGGTGAGGAAACCAGAGCTTAAAGACATTGAGTAGTACACTTCCTGAGCCAGCGGGCCCTCCTGCACAGCCAGGGTCTAGAGCAAACAGCGTCACCCCCTAGTACAGCACTTCATAGTTGACAAACATTTCATATGCTTTCTTTTCCTTTTCACAATAATCCCCAAAGCTGCCCAAATTTTACTGCTGAGGAAAATGATTCTAGAAAAGATAATGACTCACACGTCTAAAATCTTGATCATTGTTCGTTTTTGCTATACAAAACAAGGTAACCAAAGAAAAAATGAAATCCGATATGTAGGTTTTATGGTAGGTTTTCTCAAACTTGCATAATATATGGATTCTTTTTAAAGAGCTACATTCTCTAGTATCTCCAAGAATACATCGGCAGACCATTTGTAGCCATGCGGATCCATCTCATAGTGACTTAATATCTTTCCTACAAAAAAAACCCTATTTTGACATATTATAGCTTAAGAGATTTCTCTAAATGCTAAAGAAAAATGTTCCAAGATTATCATCAAAATAAACACACAAAATGTAAGACTTCTCTTAGCATTTACGCAAACATGAATGCATCTGGGAAGCAGAGCATTACTCTAAATTCTTTCTGATCGGTCACCTCCCCATCAGGACCAGGAAGTCCAGACGCGAGGGTGTGGACGGTTCTCTCCGCCGTCATCACCTCGGAGAAAAGCAGTGTGTCTCACGGGTGACAGTCAGCAGGGCAACGCCATCTGAGGACGCGGCACTCTTCCCAACCACGCGTTTCTGTGCTGCTGGCAACATCTGTGGTGGATAAGAAGGTGGCGCAGAGCGGCTCTGGCCAAACTGCCCGTTCTCTGGGAGACAGATGTTTAGTTTTTGAAAGTAGCTCTATGCTCATTTTCAAAGCATTTATTTAACAAAACAATCAGATCCTAAGTACACAGTTAAATCCAAAGCTGAAGTTGGCGAGGCAGGTCTTACCTAAAATACTCAGCTGTGAGAAAGAGAGACCTCTTACCCTTTGGGACAACATAGTGGGACCGGGAGAGTGTTATGCTAAGCAAAATGAGCCAGAGAAAGACACGTACCACATGATCTCACTTAATTTGTGGAGTATAACGAACACAATAAGCTGCCAAACAAAACAGATCCAGAGACATGGGAGCAGGAAACAGACTGACCAACCCCGGGGGTGGGGGTGGACCAAGGAACTTATATGCACACAGGCACGACCAATGGACACAGACAACAGTACGGTGAAGGGAGGGGAGCGGGGAGGAGGGTGTCAATGGAGGGAAAAAAGAGAGGGACATCTGTAATACTTTCAACAATAAAGACATATCAAAAAAGGAAAAGAAATAGCACACAGCGACTCGTGCTAAAAGGTAACATCTGCACTTTGGTCACCGGATACACCCAAAGACTCTGGCTTCCAGAGATGAAAATGAACCACTGATTTCCTTCTCAGCATTTGGGCTTAAGATTATATCTCGGTTTTGATGAAAACAGATGTCAAATCAGTGAAGGCAGGGTAAGAATTTTAACATCCTGCTTTTTTAAAATAGTTGCTTTTGGATGGTTCCTACAGATCGGTCTCCATGGAAACTGGGTAGAAAAGGCCACCACCAGCTAAAAGGAAGCCACTTCCCTGCAAGGTCATCTGTTGGCTGTCGGGAGGGATCTGGCCCTGCGACTCGGGTCGGCCTCCACAGCCTGAATCTGAGAGCTGACCTGGTAAACAGATACCTGAACAGGAAAGGTTTTTGTGTTGATTGGTTTGGTTTTGTCAATCCGGTTTGACTTCGAGCAGTTTTCCTTTGCAATTAGCAGAGAAACTGACCTTGGTCTTTCACCTGCAGCAAATACACTCGCGCCACGTTGAGACCTGTGTCTGTCCCCTGCATCGGAAGGCGCTGCCTTTGGTGAGCACTGTCATCCAAAGTTCCCCAGGGAGGAGCTAGTCCTTGCTACGTGCAATGTCGTAAACTTTCAAGTATTCTGGAAATGCATTTAAAAACCACAGTGGCCATATCTGAACTTCTCGGAGGAACGCCACCCTGCCAAAGAGCTGAGGTCGTTAGTGGTGCTCAGTGAAGAGCATGACAGCGAGACGCTCGGAGCAGTTTCATTCTCGCTGCGAATGCACTGGAACCCAGTGAAGAAATAGCAGACGTCCATTAAAAAGTGTTTCATTATATGTAAATTAGCAAGACAGGCATATGAACAGTATAGTTAAATTTCAAAGGATATTTTCTCTCAATTTACCAGTTAATCACTGAGGTAGCCAATAAGCTATTTAAAGCTATTTCCATAACAGTGAAGTTAAGAGGGCTTTTCCCATATATCTATATCCTTATTTAAGTGGAAATCCAATTTTGAAGATAACATCTTTTCTCAATAGAGATATGGCCCATTATATTTGATTTGTGGATCAAGTTTCTCCCTCCACCCTCATAGTGAGAACTTGGAGATGGGTAGGTCCCAAAGAAAGGCATCCCTTGTCTGTCCCCAACTACCTAGGTTAAGTGTGCCAGTTGCCAATTTATTGCCTCTTAGCACTAAATACACCCTTTATTGCCCTGCCTGTGACACTGGAATACAACCACCCCACCCCTATCCCCGCCATCTGGCAAGATGTCCGGCTGTGCCAGTTGAGGGCACTGAAGGGACACTGGAGGAGGATGGAGCTTGGCCCTGGTTCCGGGCATGTTCCTGCCCTGCCCTAGGCCTTCAGCAGGAAGAAGTCAGAGCAATGGGGACCCCTAGCGGTGCCCCCCAAGGCCGATTCAGTCCTGCAGGCAGCTTCCCAGAGAGGCCAATGGAGCAGCACCTACCCATGGGCAGCCTCCCGGTGCTACAGAGGGCACTTCCCATGGTGTCACACACATGTGCCGATTTCCAGCAAGCTCCGTGGTAAGACACCTCACCCTCAGTGGCTCACCCCAATCCCCCAGAGGGACGCTGCCTGCAAGTCTGTCTAGAACAGCACTTCCGTGGACTTTCTGACCTTCCCATGAGGTCTGGACCTCAGCCCAGGGAGGGCTGTCCCCTTCTATTTTGTCCCCTTCTTGGGTGCTCTGCCTCAGCACTGGTAAAGCTGTTATAGTCAACAATTCTTGAACAGTCTTCCTCTTAAACCTTCCCTGTCGAAAGTACTGTGTGGTTGCTCTCTCTTGACTGAACCCTCCCTGATACAGATTTGGTTCCGTGAACGTCGCAGAAGGACCCACACAGATGGGGTTGAGAAGTGGACTGATGGTGCCCTCGGAACCAAGCCCAGTGCTGCTTGCCGACAGGACACAGGATGCCTGGAGTGCGGTGGCATCACAACTAACCAGGTTATCACCTTGATCAAGAGCCACCCGCAGCGAGTGCCCTGGACGCCCACCTGACTTGAACGTGAGGCAGCGTGAAGACTACAAGGGCTGCGGTGTGGGTACTTCCCACCCCGGCTGGGACCCACCAATGCAGAGGGCCCTCTGTACTATGTTCTATGCCGCTGTATATAAGGGACTTGAGCACCTAAGGATTTTGGTGTCTGCCAGGCATCTAGAAACCAATCTCCCATGAATACCAAGGGACTATAGTTTTTTGGGGGGAGGAGGGTCAAAAGTTTTATGTAAATTTTCTACTGGGGGAGGGGAAGTACCCTTAACTCCTGCATTGCTCAAGGGTCCCAGGGTCAATTGTATTCTTTTTTTTTTTTTTTTTATCCTCATCCGAGGACATTTTTCCATTTTTTTGTACAGATAGAGTGGGAGGGAGAGAGAGGAAGGGAGAGAGAGAGAGAAACATCGACGTGAAGGGACACATCGAGTGGCTGCCACCCGCACGACCAACCAGGGCCGGGGACAAACTGCAACCGAAGTACGCGCCCCCAGCGGGAACCGAACCCGGGTCTCTCCGGACCGCAGGCCGACGCTCTAACCGCTGAGCCAAACTGGCCAGGGCTCAATTGTATTCTTTCATCTCTACAACAGAAAAGAAACTCTAGGTCTAGTCGACAAAAATATGAGCTGAGCTACTGTTGCTGGGGCCCCTTGAGAAGGGTCCTAAAATGCTGCTCTAGGGGCCACACTGTAAACGCACCCCCAAACCTCCCCTAGAGAGACCCGAGGCCATTCCCAGTGACTGTTCACTGGGGGAGGAAATGCACAGACTTTCAGGGACTAGTGGACACTGGCTGTAAACTGACCCTATTCCTACAGTTTTTCTATCGCCATGTGGTATGCCAAACAAAATGGTTTTCTGTTTGTTTTGTTTGCTTTATTGTGGGAAGGAGCAAATATATTAGCCCAAGCGGACTTACCATGGGCCCAGATGGTCCACTGACCTGGGGCATTTCTCTCTATTACCTGAATGCATACTTGAAATCAATTGGCAACTGATAGAATCCCCACATTGGTCCTCGGAGTTTTTGGGTGAGGGCATGTTTATGTGTTTTGCTCACTGATAGGTCTCAAGTGCCCCAAACAGTGGTTGGCACACAGTAGGCACCTGTTAATTATATGTCAAATAAATGGATGAATGAATGAATGAATCAACTACATAAGACATGCAATCCTTCTTGTTCCTTTCTTGTCTAAATATCTATACTTCTGTATCTACAAAATTTTCTTTTCATATTAACAGTGCATACCTTTAGTAAATGAACAATCCAGACAAATTTCTGTAAATAATTAATAGCCATTTGTAAATGGTGTTTGCTTCCCAGGTGCTGAAAAGTCCCTGGGGTTTAGAAATAGGAAGCTTTACCAATCCTGGATTTTCTGTGCTGTTTGTTTTCATGTCTCTGAGAGGTCCTGGGTTTAAGCCAGCATCCTCAGGGTTGGGGCGGGTGGGGGGGCACTACTTTTCTCTTTCCTTCCTGTAGTAAAGCTCTTTCTAAAGCTTATCTCTGTCCCCACCTGCATCCCCACACAGAAGGCCCCTCCATATGGAGGTTTGGATTGGGTTGGGCACTAAGCGAAAGAGCAGGGTTGAGGTCACAGAGAAAATCTGACACATTGGCTTTTTTCACCCTGCTATCTCCCTAGCTCTGTTGCTAAGCCATCGTGTCCCCAAATATTTGTGGTTGGGCAGGATAAGAACAAGTATTGACTCTAACTGAAAGTTCCACAAAGTTCTTAAGCAATATTAGCAGCAGATGCATATTTAAGATGAAAAGGAGCCCTGGCCGGTTTGGCTCAGTGGTTAGAGCGTCGGCCTGCGGTCCAGAGAGACCCAGGTTTGGTTCCTGCTAATGGCATGTACCTCAGTTGCAGTTTGTCCCTGTCCCTGGTTGGTTGTGCAGGTGGCAGCCACTCGATGTGTCCCTTTCACGTCGATGTTTCTCTCTTTCTCTCTCCCTCCCACTCTATCTGAACAAAAAATGGAAAAAAATGTCCTCGGGTGAGGATTTTAAAAAAAGATGAAAAGGAAATAAAAGGCTAAAACACTGACCTGTGTGATGTAGATGATTTTGTGCAGCTGGATTAAGATCTGCTGGATAGGATCACTGATCTGACGTACTTTCCTCTGAGACACCGCAATCCCTGCAGATGCTGTGGATGATACATTTTTCAGTTAGTAGAGACCCTGGTTTTCTCTCTTAAAGGTAATTATTAGTAGAAAATGGGGTAAAATTGTAAAACAAAAGTATGCAAAGACCCTCATTCTACCAATGAGACAATATGTAAAGACCCTGTAACACTTAAACATTTTATAATACGAGGTGCACAATTCCTTCTTTTTACTTCTCAGATTTCTAAGTAATATAATGATGTTACATCTTATAACATTGAAAAACCAGTTATCACTTGGAATTTTTGCCTGCAATTACAGGAGGCTGCCACCAGGAGTCAGTGGTGGTATTGAAAAGCTGGGTTTTAGATATGTGCAGTTAAGAGACTGTCATACTTTTAAATTTTAAATTCATTGAACATTTAAAACGAATTTTATGAAAACTACTGAATGCAAACAATGAATAGACAATCTCACAGAGGAAAAAAGTATCCCAAAACAAAAAATTCTAAGTAACAAAATTTACTTCAAATTAAGTAATTTGCAAACCCTTGATTATTACAAATTATAATTTTCACCTGGATTTCCATCCAGGTCTCAATAGTACACATTTGTAATTTATCTCAAATTCTCATCATAGAGCCACACCACTCTCTCAGATTTAGGCTAGGTTGGTGTCAAATATTATTCTTGTATGGGTATCTTTATTGAATTAATTAAGAAATTCACACAAAAAATAATCCAGTTCTAGTTCATCTGCATTTAATCCTTTGTTTAAATGTTTAAAATGTAAAGGATCTACCTTCTTTAGGCACTGTATCTAACTCCTTTTAAGCATCAATTACTTGACCATTAAGATGAGGTTTAATAAAATACTCCTAGGGTGAAAATGTGAAGGTAAATCAGAAAAATATTAAGATCGCTCTCAGACAGAAAGCAGGGAGCTGGGACCATAGCCTGCAGATGGCTGAGTGTGCACATGTCATATTTCCCACAGCGGTGATTTCTTGCAGAAATGATTCCTAAGCTGTAACTGTTTGTCTAGACCCATATCAAACACGAGAGACCAAGTAATACGGTGGCCAATTTGATGTTGCGACAAGAACATTAACTTTGCATTTTCAGAAACTAAATGGCTTAGTTTTTTTATTATTTTTGTGTTGACCACTTTATGTTTTTAACATGTGGACTTAACCGTTATAGGGAATGAGTTAAAAATCTCACAGCCTGGCAGAGCGTTCTTAGATTTGTAATGTCATTTTGAGTGGGACGTCACATGGGTTTGACTCTACCTTGCCACAAGAATGTGCTCATCTGTGGCCCTAGATACAAAAACAGAGATAGTTAGCTAGAAGGCCTGTCTTCTGAATTACTCAGTTATGCAAAGTAACTTAAAATTGTTTTTCTTAAGACCCTTTGACCATTCTCCCTCAATTCCAATAAATTCTTGACTTTGGAAAATAGTTTGATTGCTTACTCTCTAAAAAAATGAATCTGAAAATGTTTAATGTACACATGGCCCTTGTAAAACAAGCAAACACAATAAAACCCTGGGCATTAGAGAAGAGGCTGGAACCCCCATTGGCCTCCTCCCCAGAAGTAGCCTCTGATATCAGCTTGCTGTGTGGCCTTCCCATCACTTTTCTATCCATTTACATACATAAGTTTTACCTTCACAACAGTATTTTTCAAACTGTGGTTGAGTCCTGAAATCAGTTTAATGGGTCATAACCAGCATTTTGAAAAATGGGATGCAATGAAGAGGAACAGGAGAGAAAAATTCAGAGTGCACTGCATGCAGCAGGCGTCCACTCATTCGAGACATAAAATGTGTTTCTTATCGAGGATCCTCTCCAAAAGAGTTTGAAAACTGCTATTAGAAAAAATCTGTAGCATTACCTTATGCCTTCTTTCTTTCTTTTTAAATACATGGTGACACATCATAAGACTTTTACAATTTGTTTCTCAGTTGGCCTGACATAGAGATGCTTTTCTGCCAACACAGAGTTCTGGCCCATTCTCCGTAACCACCTTTGAGTAGCTCTACCTGTGCTATATGCACGAGTTTACTTAGCTGTTTCGGTCTTGATGGGCACTTGGTTTGCTTTCCACGTCTCATTATTCTAAACGATGCTGCAGTGAGTGGGCATGTGCGTGTCTCACTGTGCATAAGTACAAGAGGTCTTTTAGGGTAGATAAGGAGAAACTAAATACTAGCTGGGCCCTCACAGTACACATTTCTTATTTTAACAAATACATTTGAAATTGGCTGAATCATTTTGCATTCTGGCCAGAAGAGAATCCATTTTTCTACACCATGATCAACACTATATATTACCAAACTTCTCAACTCTACCAATCTGATTGTGTGTGTGTGTGTGTGTGTGTGTGTGTGTGTGTGTGTGTGTATCTGAAGGCAGATAAGGTTATTGCACTTCTTTGGTGAATTTCCTGTTTGTGTCCCAGATTTTTTGTTTTTTCGTTTGTTTGTCTTGTTTTTATCCTCACCCGAGGACATTTTTCCATTTTTTGTTCAGATAGAGTGGGAGGAAGAGAGAGAGAGAGAGAAACATCTACGTGAAAGGGACACATCGAGTGGTTGCCACCCGCACAACCTAACCAGGACCGGGGACAAACTGCAACTGAGGTACATGCCCTTAGCACAAACCGAACCCGGGTCTCTCTGGACCTCAGGCTGACACTCTAACCACTTAGCCAAACTGGCCAGGGACCAGATTTTTTTCTTACTGGTTTGTAAGTGCTCTTTACATCGTCTGAATACTAATCCTTTTGTTGCATTTTATATATTAAAAGCATTTTAATGTAATCTGTTACTTCTTTTCAGTTTAGAGGCTACTTCCCACCCCATCACCTAGACTAAGACAACGTTTAGTCTCAGGTACCACCAGAGCAGTCTGTCAGGCACCTGCTACTGCTATATCACAGCATATAGATGACCAGTCAGCACGCCTGGTGTGCTCTGGAAAATTGACTGAAATGTGAGTAATCACATGAGTTAGGACTGGAGAGAAAAGGGAAATTTGAGACTGAGAATAACGAGGGGGTGTCTAGCTATAACATTTGCAAAACTTCTTGATTTTCTGAACTTCAGCTAATTCTGGGTATGACAACTATTATTCCTCCTTTTCTACATGATCAACTCTTCATATTCGTTATATTCCTTCACCCCCAACATGCATATTTATTTGGCCCTTAATAATTTTAGGAAAACAAAAAGGGATAAAAATCCAAATAGATACCTTTAAAACTTTTCATTCTTATTTAAATAGTAATAACTACTAAATTCATGGCAAATGTTAGCCATGTGATTCTGAATTTTAAAGCACTCTCTCTCAATAAATCTTTCAGATTAGCACTCCGAGAACACTGTGCATCCTAACTATTCACACACACACAAGGAAATGCAACACATATTTACATTGCCAATTTTGTCCTAAGAATATATATTTTTTAATCCCCACCTGAGGATATTTTTTCCATTTATCTTCAAATAGAGTGGGAGGGAGAGAGAGAGAAAAAAAAAAAAACATCGATGTGAGAGAGACACATCGACTGGTTGCCTCCTGCACGACCCCAACCAGGGCCGGTGACAAACCACAACTGAGGCACGTGCCCTTGACCGGAACTGAACCCATGACAATTCGGTCTGTGGGCCGATGCTCTAAACGCTGAGCCAAACTGGCCAAGGCCTAAGAATAATTTTATTAAAAGAATTTACCTATAAAAAGACATCACAGAAGAGGATCCTACTTCAGTGTCAGTCACAGTATGCCCACAATTCATATCTATGTTGTTCCTAATACAGAAGATAGGCAGTATTTGATCTTACTAAAATGTAACTGAAATCAAAGCGTAAAATTAGAATACTTTGTATTCCCCTTTCATAGTTTTAAGTGGATTTAATTAGTGTTTTAAACCTTAGAGGAAAACTGCAAAATTCCCTATAGGAGGCAGTTTACTTGGAAGTATCAAAAATAATTATAATTTCCCGCTGACTCCGTGGTGAGCATGGTGCTGAGCAGCCGTTCCCCCGGGGAGGCAGAGAGGAGGACCAGGGGACCCCCAGCGCTGTTCCAGCAGAGTCTTGGACACTGGGAAGGGTTTTACACATTTAGTCTCATCCAATCCTTGCACCCATTCTGAAGGGCAATTGTTTTCATACCCATTTTACTGATAAAGAGACTGAGATTAAGGAAATTGCCCAACCAAGATCAGAGAGCAAGTGGGTGCTGGGGTATTAAGCCCGGTGGGCCCGACACACGAGGCCCCCCACACTGACCTGACTCATCACTGGGAGGCTGTCAAATCATGGACAAGTCCTCTGGTTACCTCGAATAGAGAAGAAAATCTACTCCTCTTCCTAGGCCTGGAATACTATCTCTCTTCCTACAAGGGCTGCTACTTTCAACATGATGTTCTGTCTCTACCTTTGAACATTTGACAGATTAAATCGTTTTGGAAATCTTATACGTGTCACAAACTGGGGACACTGGGCGCTGGCAGTCCGTGCAGCACACTGTATCCTGCTGTATCGGGTCACGCACATTACAACGCCAAGTTAGTTGATGCCCATCCCTGGACTTCGAGAGCTGATCCACACTAAGTATTCAATCTATTAAGACTGTAGTTCACAGTGCAAGCTGCTAATTAATACAAACTGAACAAAAGATGGATTACACTGTAGTCCCTCCGTTGACCAAGATATACTATCAACCGACTATTTTTCTGAATTCTCTCTTCTAGGAGTCAGAGATTTCTGAACAACTGGAGAAGAGAAGGTTTCAGGCAGGAGCTCCCTAAATAAGGGAAAAACATTTTCCCTTTATGAATGGGGCTGAAACACACCTGGGCTTCTCTCTGTTGGACCACCTTCTCTGCTAAAAGACAATACAAACTTTAAAATTTAAGTATGGTGAGCAGATTCACTCTCACTTCTTTTCTCTACTTTTAAGCAAAATGAAACGAAGTAACTGAATTGTAGTTCAAATCTACAAATGCTCAGCAATCAACTCCTGTGCCCAGCAGTGTGGACGGTGCGAGAAGCTGAACAAAAGATGCTACACTCACAAGAGGGTCATGGGTGTTCACCCAGAGAACCCTGGATGGAAGGTAGAGAGTTGATAAAAGGCTTCACTCGTCAGGACCATGAAGAGTGAGCAGGCCTTCCATAGGCACAGACATGAATTTGGTGTAAGGGAAGGTACACTTGAGTGACGGCGTCTGAGTAGAAGCAACAGCTACAGCAAAGGACAGGAGTCAGCTCAGTGGGGGCACATCTGGAGAACAGCTGGTGTCCAGCTGATGGTCTGGGTACAGCTGATGAGGGGGCCGGGGACCCCATGACGGCGAGGAGCCATCAGGAAGGCTGTGTTTCAGGAAAGGTGACTTCAGGGGAAGAGGCCTAGAGCTGAAGGCAGAAGGCCCGGCTGGGGTAGCACACGGGGAGGCCTGTGCGCAGCAGCGAAGGAGCTGCCGAAGCGTGGACTCGGGCACTGGGAGGACGACATCGTGGAAAGGGACAGGGAAGTGGGAAAGACGCCTGGGTGCTTGGGCGTGGAGTCCTTCCCAACACAGACCAACGGGGAGCTCTGCAGTCAGGCAGAAACTGACAGGGGGTCCCAGTCCCCCTACAGCCACACCTGGCAGAATCTGCACAGGATGGCAGCAGCCGCACCAGGGCCCGGTCTTCCACCCTGACTGATCAGGCTCCTTCCACCCACCTTCCATTTGAACTTCAGAGATGAGCCATTTAAGGGCCAGAGAACAAGGCTGCTTTGAAGCACTTTCCTCCTGAATTCTGACTCAGTCAACTCCACACAATGTGTCTCCTCCTGTTCTGGCTAACCTCAATCTGTGTGTGTGTGTGTGTGTGTGTGTGTGTGTGTGTGTAGACTAGGAAGGGTTTCCCCAATTCCAAACTTGCTATCTCTTCAGTTATTTCTTCGAAATGAAAATATAAACTCAAGAGTTTTAGTCAAAGTTCCTAGAAATGACCACACAATGCACCTGGCAAGATGCTGTGCAGAGCCTCTACCGTTGTGTCATTTCTATACTTGCTTTGACCTCATGAACTCCCCTTGCTGAGCAAGCAGGGGGGACTAGATTTCCCCAGGTGGGGTGGCAAAGAGGAACCAAGGAATAGAGCAAGTGCATCCGTGGGCTTAAAAAACGTAGTCTGTCTACGCAGAAGGCAGAGAGATTCAAAAGAATAACTGCGGAATGAACTCATCTTCCCACCCCTTCTGGATAACATAAAGATTCTCTGAGGAGGGAGGATAAAGAAAAAAGGAGAAGAAAAGAA